ACATCGCTGGGAAGATGTCGGCCCTCTTGGCGACGGGGTGGCTGCGGTGACCTCCAGCCAGGCCCAGCGTGGGGGCTTTTATCTTGAGGGCTTACCTAATAGCAAGCAGCCCGTGCAAACTGGGCCAGCAGCTCCCAGCTATGGAGAAGGGGAATGCCTAAGGAAAACACTGGGATGCTCTGGCCTCTGGATGAAGTCTTTCTCCTCTGCAGCGGACGTGAAGATTGTAATGTTTATTTTTGAGTCAAAAGAGAAAGGAGGTGTGCTTTGCCAAAAGCTTGGCTTAGGGAAATGAGCTGGCTTGGAGATGTAGGGAGTCCCAGCAAGGAGCTGGGATTTGTGGGGGAGGGAGGATGGGAGCGGGGCCAGCTTTGCTAGGGCTTGGGCACAGCTCTTTTTGTGAAGAAGAGACCGCGTGGCTTGTTACCCTGGAGGAGGGCAGCAGCCCTGTACATCGGGGTGTAGATGTCCGAGGCAGGCAAGAGAACCGGTTTCCTCTGGGAGCTAGCTTGCATCTCTCCTATCAACCCCCAATCTCAAACTTCCCAAGAAGGCAGGAGAAGTGCCAGCCTCACGCACTACCTAAATCAGTGGTTCCTGCCTAGGAGCAGCCAGTGCAGAGTCAGAAAAGTTGGGCCCCTTTGGAGTGTCTTTAGTGGAGGAAGCTGTTCAGAGAAGCGTAAAGCTGCTTTTCAAGGCCCCAACCTATGAATGAACTGTGGGGAGGGCTTCAGTCGCTTGAACAGACATTACTAATGCTTCCCTGTACCTTTAGGGGAATACTGCGTTTAATTCATGGTCCTTCTGGCACGCAGCGTATGGAGCAAAGACACTATGGAGAGTGTAACTCCTTAGCACTGGGGTATAGGAGGCAGAAATTGCTGAAGAGTGATTATGACCACAATTGCTAATAACTGTTTTCTAGCAACCACTGCTTGGTAATGAATTTTATCACAGACAGAAGGGATCCAACAGTAGAACCAAGACAGTAGAAATTCTTCCATTTGGCTTACTGGGATTAATACCAAGTTTATTAGAACAAAGAGAGGTCACTGTATTTTGGCAGGGGGGGATTATTTCACTGCTTAAAGTTAGTTAATGTTCAAGTCTAAAAATACATTTGCAGAAGGACTGAAATTTGTAGTATATAATTCATAATAAAGAGCTTTACTAAACGATTGTGGATTGTTTGGTACACATGGAAATTCTAGTTTAAGAGAACAGCAAATCCATGTGATTTTCAGCCTTTTTAATGGAATGATTACATAATGTCTATAAAATGAATAATTTCTCTTCTAGGACTTTATGGAGATTTGGATACTCTGCCAGACTACTGAAAACTAATCACTTTAGGACAGCTGCATCAAATACATCATTTCCAGCAGTTTGGATGCTATTGGCGCAATATTCTGGCAGAATACCTGGGCTCTTTGTAGTAGTAAAAAAAACCAGTTTTTTTACAATGCCTGAAACTGTGGAGGATAAAGCTAATCTAGAACTGTACTTGCCGCATCCTGAAGTGCGTGGGATGACACGACTCAACAGAGAAGCTTTTAGAAAGACAGTTGTTGTTCCAGTTCTTAAAGTCAAGAAAGAAATTGTAAATACTTTGCTAAAGTCCCTAAAACATACGGTACTACAGCGTCCTGGTCTGAAGCGAGTGGTTGAGGATCCTGAAGATGAGGACAGTAGGCTTGTTATTTTGGATCCGTATAAAATACCAGAATTCTCATTGGGAGAATCGGAGCAAGAGGTATTAAAACAGCTTAATGTTTGTCCTGAGGTGTGCAAGTATAACTTAGAGCTGACTTATGAGAATTTCAAGTCAGAGGAGATCCTACGGGCCGTCCTTCCTGAAGGTCAAGAAGTCACCTCTGGATTTAGCCGTGTGGGTCACATAGCTCATTTCAATCTTAGAGATCATCAGCTACCGTACAGACATTTGATTGGTAGGTAAAACAACTCTTCTCAAAAAAGTAATTTGTGTATTTTGTATGTTGTTAAAAAGATATTGTACCAGTTATTCTACCGATAAATTATTACTTGTACAAGGAAAACTTTTGAGCACTTTTCATCGCTTTATATTTTGACGTTAAATAGCCTTGTGCTGATGCTGTAGCTGTGCACCGAAGGCGCAGTTCTTTCCTCTTACAGTAACTGGGGTCTCACTTCACTGAGCATTGGGTCAGGGTGAAGCATGTGCCTTAGAAAGATGTCACATCTGCAACCCTGAATCATTAGAGGAAAGTTGTTCTAACAGAGGCTTACTTTTGTTAATTTAACTGTAAACAGCGGTGTTTGTATCTCTTGTAGAACATTAAGAGGTTGTAGTCCCTTAACTGGAATTATCTTTTGCGCTTTCTTTCAGGCCAGGTTATAATTGACAAGAATCCAGGAATCACCTGCGTAGTGAATAAAACCAATATTATTGACAACACATACAGAAATTTTCAAATGGAAGTACTCGCTGGAGACAGCAAACTAGTAACCAAGGTACAGGGTTTTTTCCCCTGTTATTTTAAATTTAATATGCTAAAACCCAAAGACATCTACTGGAAAGATGTGATGAAGAGATGCTGTTAAGCCCCTTCCTGACACTTGTTTTAGACTGTAGGAGTTGGCAGTTGCTTCTATGTTCATTTGTCCTGGTCTGCCAAGAGCAAACTCACAACCATAGGGACCATGAAGATACATATTTGTTCAAGTTCACAGACTAGATTTTAATGATATATAAAAGCAGCTGAAGTAAAAGTTTCTTACAGGGATACTAATTACAAACTTGTAGCGAGGGGTGTTTCTCACTCTAAAGCCAAAATATTTAGTCGATTTGATCTAAGAAAATGCTGTTTCTTAATTTCACCAAGCCTTGTACAGTGGCTGGTACCGAACATAAGACCGTGTAAATCTCGCTGGCTTTGCAACATAGGCAAGATTTTGCCTATGCCTTTTTCCTTTTCTGTCAGCAGCAAGACAAACCTCATCTGTCCTCTGTTTTGACACTTTTCAGGTGTAAAGCACTGTGTAACTGCCAAGTATTCTTCACGTAGGGTTTCCTGTCTTTAGCTGGAAACTTGGCCATGAGGTTGACCAAAAAATATTTTTCCTAACTGTTAGCAGTTTTATACTTTTAGAAGAGAAAACATTAGATTACCAAATAAAAGAAGTTGAATAGCTTGGATAGAACATCCTGTACATGCACCAAGAAGGCATTTGAATCGTCAAGGCAGAAGTGACAATCAAATATTATGCAGATGGTATTAGCTCATTAAGCATACATCTAGCATACCACTGAGCTGCACACTGAGCAGTGCAGATACGCTTCAGTGTGTTTCTTGCTGGCAAAGCAAATGATGCAGCGATTTGGATCCGAAGTTACTTTACTTCGGAGTCACACAGTTCAAGTGTGGTGGTGCAAAGTGAGTATTATCTTGCATCCTGCTCTCATCTGAATAAATACTGTTTCTTCTTAGGTCTGTTCTTAAGATAGCGGTCATCCCAAAGTTTGGGTTTGGATCAGTTTCCAGACTCTGTCACCTTGAGAGATAAAATACTGTATTTTTTCAAACTGCAGAATTGGCTCCCAGCGGCTTTGAATTTGGCTGACTGTTGCCATTCTTGTGCTGTATCATTCTCAGACACTTATTTACTATGTGGACTCTGCTAAGGAAGGCTTAAGGCATCTTCCCAAGGTCTGCTTTCAATAAAGGAGTTGTCAGCCAGCCACAAAGCTCTTGAAAAGCCTCAGATTTTTTTTTTTATGGTCATTTTAAGTTGCTGCTTTATTTCCACCTGGTGATTGAGACATGCATAAGCCAGCCATCTGGATTGACAGTTGGAACATTCCTTATGGCTATTTCTGATGAGTAGCTTTGTTTATACCAGACTCGTGTACTACTAATGGGACAAATGTCAATGTACACATTACCTTTTGATAAAGCTCCTTGTTTTTTAGCCGTCTTAACTACTGATAATGCTTGAACATGTCTGGAATTTGAACACAGAGGCTTAACCAAATGTTCTGGACTTTCAGGTCAAAGAAAATAATATTGTGTATGAACTGGACTTTTCTAAAGTTTACTGGAACCCACGTCTCTCCACAGAACACAGCCGTATCATTGAGCTTTTAAAGCCCGGTGATGTCCTTTTCGATGTCTTTGCTGGGATTGGACCTTTTGCTGTTCCAGCAGCAAAGAAAAAGTGCCGCGTATTTGCAAACGATCTCAATCCTGAATCCTACAACTGGCTCATGCGCAACTGCAAACTAAACAAAGTAGACAACAAAATAAAAGCGTTCAACATGGATGGCAGGGACTTCCTTCTGGGGCCAGTAAGAGAAGAACTAAGGAAAGAGCTCCCACTTCTGAAAGAAGAACAGAAAACCTCTTTTCATATCGTCATGAATTTGCCAGCTTCGGCTATTGAATTTCTAGATGTTTTCAGGCATCTCTTAGTCGGAGAGCCATGCAGCGCTGCTGGCCTTCCCACGGTGCACTGCTATGGTTTCTCCAAACATGATGACCCTGCCAAAGATATTCAAGAACGAGCTGAAGCTTCACTGGGAACCTCCTTAGAGGGACGCTGTTCTACTTACCTGGTTAGAAATGTTTCGCCGAACAAGGAGATGCTGTGCATTAGTTTCCAGATTCCAGCGGACGTGCTGTACAAGAGGCCCTGCCCTGACGAAGGTAAGGAACGAGCCTCCTCCGTGGCCCTTGGATTTCAGGCTGCGCCTTTTGCTGTCTCGGGCTGGTTCCACCTTGTCAGCCCTGTGGGCCACTTCAGCCGTGTGACGGCGACGCTGCGCTCCAGCGTGAGCGCGGAGGAAGCCGGCAGGACTGAGTGCCTGCACGTGCGCAGCAGCTGCGGGGCTTCATGCGCTCCCGGTAACAGCCGTCCGCTCCTCTGATCCCAGCATGAGCCTCCACAGAAAAAATGGTGGACTGGATAGGATCACCCCACAGGCCATAAACCAGACCTTTATGCCTTGGATTGCGTACTGGGGGAGGATGGGGTATCTAACGCCAGGCACACGCTTCTGTTGGCCAAATACTTAAGAAGTGGAGCTTCATTTTCACCCAGGGTGGACTGGCGTACTTCCAAGTGCCTGGTCCCAGTTCTGACCTTCTCCCTTATGCTTGCACGGACTCAGTTTAGGTCTGGAGTCACTACATCAGCAGAATCTGGTTCTGTACAATTTCATCGAGAAATAGATATCCTTGGAGATCTTTGTTGAATTTGATTTTTATTTTTTATTATAATTGGTCATTTGTTTCTTGAAGTACTTGTAGAAGCTAGTTGGGTTCAGTGATCTTGGGCTCTGCACTACATGGCAAGGGGGGAGAGGAGGCTTTTGGTCTGCAGCTACATGAACTGGAGGAAGGGAGGTTTTGATAAAGCTTTAATGTCACAAAACTTATTTTTACACTGTTGGGTAGCACTGAGATGTACATCAAAATGCAGCTCAATACAGGTTTTTTGAACGTCCTTTTTGGCATTTAGTAAAGACCCCCCTGTTATTGCTGTAACAGTTTTCATTTGTGACTGTTAATCCCGCTTTTAACTCTCATCTCCTCCTGTTAAATCCCTTAAGCATTACATGGCTTGTGGTTTAGTTCAGTCTGTTTACTGTATATTAAATAACTCACTTTTTCTAACCTTCTTCCAGCAAAACCAGCCTCTAAACGTCTGTGTACCAGCAAAGATTTTTCTGAAGAAAAGTTGGAGTTGAAGAAGAGCTGAAGACTAGAGTTATGGTAATGACCTTAGTAGGTTGCATAAGGTACACGTAGGTCACCTCTGGTTTACCTCTTGAATTATTTGAAGCATACCTGTGTTACCCATCTCGGGTGCCGAAATGCGTAATGCATGTTGCAGCTTTCCGTTGTGAGCCTTGCTTCCTGCATTTACCTTGTTTTTTAAATTGTGGGATCAATAAGCAGATTGAAATTGTTGTTACTATAAAAAAATAAAACTTCGCTTTTTTGTAATAAATGTGGTTTGGTACTTTTCTGCTCTCTATTGTTTCACAGCCTGTGATAATTCAGTGACACAGACTGGGATGGTTTTCTGCTGTGTCATTTTGATAATCATGTGGCAAAACCAGATTTTTATATTTTGTCGGGTGTAGCAAGATGACTTGTATAACCCTTGCATTGGATTCTCTTTGGTGATGGTTTTGGTGTTTAAGAATATCGGATTACTGTTAGCAGATGCACAAACACTCTTGTGTAAGCAAGATAACCTTTCAAACACTTAACCCAAGATACAAAAAGGCCCGAATAGCCATAAATACTTGTTCCAAGGCTTCTGAGTAATAAATGCTTTTTAACACTGAGATTTAGTCAGGGCTTAGTTGACTCCTAACTTAGCGTTTGCCCACTGTTAAAGCAGAAAAGACTCTAATGCCATTTGCACAGTTGCAGATTAAGTGCACGCTTGCGTTAAAGCGCTGGACTGACAACCGGTACTTGGCTGAACAGTCCTCTCGTCTTGAAACCTCGCGTCCTCCTGTGGCTTTTGCGCCTCTGCCGTCTCCCAGCTCTGCTCCTACCTCTGCTGCAGTCCCTGGACGATCTCGCTGACTGGCTGCCTGTATTCTGCAGGGATTTGAAAAGCCTCTGCCTTTGATTTCCTTTTCTTACCCGTCCAAACTATTGTTGGGCAATGTCAACCACAAACAGTTCATTTGGACAGAGGAAGTCAGATCACCCTCTCGGTTTCAGATGTTTTCCTTCAGCCCAAGCTCAGAGCTCATGCCTAGCAACTTGGTTACCAGATGTCTGCCACCCTCCCTGGCTCTGCTGCTGTGGCTCTATCACTGGGGCCTCTAATGCGATGTCATGGTTCTTGCCCAAATAACCGCTAAGGCCCATAGATCTGTTTTGCTCAGCGGCTCCCTGTTACAGCCTTTCCCTTGGCTACACAGCCAGGGCTTTTGCGCAAGCCTTCACAGCTTGGTTGCTTGGTTGCGCTTATCAAACCAGGGGGAGAAAACTCATCATGAGTCACTTGCACTACCCTGAACGCTGCTGTACAGATCGCTTCCCTGGCCTGCCATTCCAGCCCGAGCATTCCTCCACCGGTCTTTAAAATGGTGTCACAACAGCTTTAACCTTTTTGTCCTCGCTGTCAGTGACAGGCACATCGTATCCTCTCCCTAGCAGTCACTGCTCCTCTAAGAGCGAGCCCTGGACTCTTTGTCTCCAGCCTGCGATGCTATCTGCTGTCTGTCACATTTTCAAACGCCACTCACTGTGTGCTTCCCTGGCGCTGCCCTGTGGGTTTCCCCCAAACGTTTGAAAGCTGCTCTTGTTCTTCAGAGCCCTCCATAAACACTGCTGTAGCGATAAGGCCCTCGACCGCTCTGGAATGATGCAGTCACCCTATGATGTACGCTAAGGCGCCTGGCTGTACTGCTGGAGACCACAGGTCCCTTTGACTGCGTGCATTGCCTCACAGTCCAAATTTAGGGCTCCTTGGCGCTACTGCACTAACAGAAACCTGGCTTTGATCACCATTTTTGTGCTAAGCAAGTCAAGTCCGTAAGTCTGATTTTCAGCATATGACTAAAGTATCCCAGGGCAGGGAAGGATTTTATTTCTTAAAAGTTTTGTTCGCTTCAGGATTAAATGCCATTGTCATTTTAGCAGCACAACTTTAGTTTAGATGCAAGTCAATGGATTATATGTAGCTATACTCCTAACCAGAGGTTCATCCATATTTCTGTGCAGTTGCCGCTTTTGCGTATAACCCTTCCACATGAAACAGCAAACGATAGCCAACGCACACGCAAGTTGCATGAGTGTTTTTGAATGATACATATTAAAATGCATATGCATTCATTAGGGCAATGACCTGAGGCTTTACAAACTGAACAGAAAGCAGATCATCGCTGAGGTGTACCTTTATCAGTCTGGGTGAGCCCCGAATAGTACAGACTCCCCCTGGTTGCTGCTACTCCCTCCCAGCGCCCCGAGCTGAATCCCAGAAGGACCGCTGCTATCTTACTTGTCCCGGGAACAGGAGACAGGCTGTCAGGCATCTGTGACAGAGGGAACGAACTCCCACAGCTCCCAGCTGCTCAGAAAACAATCAGCTAGGCCCAGCGGTGGTGGCAGCCATTTACCATGAGCGAGGGAATGGATAACCACAGGGCACGTCAACTGTCACGCCTTACAGCTGAGAGGGAAGGACGAAGGGTGCAGGTAGAGGCAGCACTCGTCTCAGGGCTAGACTGCGACCCGCGCAAGCGTACGAGTGGTCGCTAACGCGCGCTGCAGGGCTGAGTCCCGCAACAGCCAGCCGCGGGCTTTGTGTCTAAGGGCAGGCCACCTGCCCTGGGCGGGGAGCAGCACTCCGCAGGCTACGACCTTCTCTGCACCTCCGCCTTGTGCGCAACGTTACCTGTCGGCAACTGTTCTGGGCACCAACAACGGGATTTCAGAGCAAGGGCAATGGAAATGTTGGTGCCTCCCTCCACTTTCCTTAATAAAGGAAGCACCAAGTCTGGAATAGAGCTTATTCTTCTCTTTATTACAACATAGAAAAAAAATACATTCATTTGGTACACTCCTTGGAACAGTATTCAACAACCATTAACAGATGACCCATAAAATGTGGTCCAGACTTTGCTCTAGAGGCGCTCACTGTCCTGAGCGGTTTCCAGTCTCCCGCGGTTTATACGCACTCACGGCAAAGACCAGTCCCACCACAGGAAGCCCATCTCTGCTGCAATTAGTCTACGTTCCAGTACAGGGAGAGGGCAAGGAACACCTAAAAGCAGCAGATCAAGTGCGAAGGGTCATCCCAAAAGCCAGACAAAGGGATGGTCCTGCCAAAAGAAGCTCCTGAACACGACAGAAATGTTGCAAATGGAGCTAAACAGGACAACAAACCCAATTTTGACTACTTTAATGACCTAGCCTCATATCATGGCTTCTTAGATTGCTTCTAGAGAAACTCAGTTGAAAGACTTTCTGCTAAAGATTTGTTTTCCAGACAAAGGTAAGAACTAAGTGACATCAGGAAGGATCCTGCATAAGAGTTGTGTCAGCATAGTTCCAGGGTTTCTCATCTCGTCCAGCTGGCAGGAGGAAAAACCCACTTGTCTGAACTGAGGAAACTAGCTTTATGGGAAGAAAATGTAGGCTTGAATATTGACACTAAATGTTATAATCAAAATGGCATTTAAATGCTTGTGCAAATAAAACCCTGCAATAAGAGTAAAACCACAAACTTTAATAAAAAAGTCTGGCTTTATTTAAAAAAAATTTACAAGTGTATTTCTTTAAACCTCAAACATACATGGCTGAGTTATTCACATCTTCCATTAGATGTGGCTTATTGCTTCAGCCTCCCTCAGCAAAGTGCCACATGACTAACGAGTTTCCCCCTCCACAAAAATGTATCTACCATTTTACAAAGCTCTCGTGCAGACTTTTTTTTTCCCCCGCCTTTAACACTTAAACACAGCTGGTTTGACATAGAAAAGTGACTGCAGCTTAGCCGTTGTGCAGATGGCAGCAATTTTACCCAACCATTGCTGGCTTGATTTGCTTCTCGCTCCATTCGGTGTCCCTTGATCACAGGCTGATGCCCACTGGCTAACTGGGGTGCCAGAAAAGACCACTGAAAGCATCCTGTAAGGCTCGGTGACAAGCAAGAGAAGAAGTGTAGCCCCCAGCAAGATCCTGCGGAGAAGCGGCTCGCACATGGTTGAGATACCTAAACCAAAGACAAGCATTATTTTAGAGCAGAAATAAATACATCAAACATCTGCATAGTTCACAGTACACTGAGGTCAAGGCTGCTTTTTGGGAGAAAGCAAGGAGACGCAAGCTGCCTACTGCTAGCCACCTATGAACATAGCAGTATGAAAACTTTC